GAAACTGGGCTGAGGAGCATTTTGGCTCCTAGATGTTTTGAACTGAAACTCTGTAATCACATACCCTTGGCAGTGCTCATTGGGGCCTCTGGGAGCTGAAATCCAGAACATCCGGAAATGTCACTGCTCCTGTTTGAAACAGAGACCCTATAACATTGTTGTTGTTAAGTGTCATCAAGTTGCCTTCAACTTATGGTTACGTCAGTATGGCTTTTGAGGTATGTACAGTATTCAAAGAATGGCTCACTCCTTGACACCTTCCTGGCCAAACAGAGATTTGAACTCAATCTTCTGAATCCTGGTTCAACACTCTCCCCACTATACCACATTTGCTCTTGTTTTTTTTTTTTTTAACCTTGTAAGATGGGGACTACCTTGTAAGAAGTGGGGAGGCAGAGCCTGAGAAAGTGCAGGTCGCATAGGTCTGCTTGTAAATGCTTTGCAGAAGTGAGATTTAAATGGAGATTCTTCAGCTATTATTTTCATAAATATAAATACAGTACCTCAGATATTTATACCATGGCTTTTCAAATGCAAAACTCGAAGATAGCTAATCAAAGGAGATATACAAATATAAATTGGCCCAGGTTGGCCCTGGAATGAGCTCTTCCTCCCTTTGCAGAGTTCCTGTCTGTTGCTGGAAGCCAAGATAGAAGGAAAGTTTGGAGCTAGCAGGTTATGAAAAGAGGCAGGGCTTTCTCTCTCTGATACAGGATGAGTTGGAGTGCAACATTAGATGCTCACCTAGCCAGTGTAGTCAGTTATGGAGAATGGTGGGAGTTGCGGACCAGCAGTATTTGGAGAGCTACCTGTTGCCCACTGCTAGTCTTACAGCACAATTCTGCACACAAGTTAAGCCTCCCTGAATTAAGTGCAGCTTATTCCTAGGTAAGTGTGTATAGTGTTGAAACCCTGCATTGTTAAGTTGCAGGACAATTACTTCTTGAGGAAGTCCAAGATGAGAGAGACTGAAATGGTCTTTATATTGAGCAAGGTGTGATATACCTTGATCTTTTATCCCAGTGGTCCCTGACCTTTTCCCAACCACGGACTGGTTGGGGGGGCATGGCATGCTTGTGTGGGAGGGTGTTGCGCTCACAGGGGGTGTGTCGCACTCACAGGGGCGTGCCGTGCTCACATGGGGTGGAGTGCACTCACACACATGCGCGGGGCACGCTCGCAGGGGGAGTGCTAGTGGGGTGTGTGGGAGATCTGTGTCCACGGTCCGGTCCAACCTAGGCTGTGGACCGCTCCCACGTCGCGGAACAGGGATTGCGGCCCCCTGTTTTAACCCATTTTACTATTCTAGTTGTTATACAGTTACCCCATGACCTGTAATCGCCTAGTCCCTTCTGAATCCTTCAGATATTCCTGTGACATTTTGTTTTTGTTTTTAATCTTGAGAAATTAATGCTTTCTTTGTTCACTCTGGTGGTGTGTAAAAAATCTATAGGTATCCGTATTTACTTTTTGATATTTCAACAGTATTGATGGCAAGTTAAACCCACCATATCTTTATTAGCTGCGCTGTATTAATAAATTGGGGGACGTGGAAGCCTGTGTTGCAGGGTCAGAAGACCAGCAGTCGTAAGATCAAATCCATGCGACGGAGTGAGCGCCCGTCGCTTGTCCCAGCTCCCGCCGACCTAGCAGTTCGAAAGCATGCAAATGCGAGTAGATAAATAGGTACCACCTTGGTGGGAAGGTAAACAGCGTTCTGTGTCTAAGTCACACTGGCCATGTGACCATGGAAGATTGTCTTTGGACAAAATGTTGGCTCTATGGCTTGGAACCGGGGATGAGCACCACCCCCTAGAGTCGAACACAAGTGGACAAAAAATTGTCAAGGGGAACCTTTACCTTTACCTTTACCTTTTATTAATAAATTAATTAAGCACTAAATTATCATGTGGGGTTTGTTTGCTTCTTTAGTGCTAGAGCATTCCTGTAAATATCTGTGTATTCCCAAATATGGATGGTATTAAAACCATGTTAGTACAGCTACTAAATGTTGTGGTAGCAAATATATTATTTCTTGAATGAAAACACTTTTCTTCTAGCTAAAAAGCACTTTTCTCCTATATTTTCCCCTCAAGATAGATTAAACTTAGGTTACTTTTGGGCAGGTGAGGGCAAAGTTTTTAATTTTGTATAACTGTGTCTATTTTTGATGTTTTGTGTAAGGTTCATTGGATGTGCTGAACTGGCAAATTGCATCCTGTTTTACCCATCCAGCATGTTGCTACATGTTTGGGACTGAGTTTCATGTCCTGTTGGCCTAAAATTAGCACCTTCGCTGGATATGTGAGTCTTTCCCCAAATGACACAACACTGGGATCTCATATTCTTCAGGATGCTATGTTAGAGTATAGATCTTTTCATCTTTGAAGAGCTGTAAGTACATTTAGCTGCTTTAGTTAAAAACCTTTAGTTGGCAGCTGTCACACTTGATCACTGTAAAACCATGCTCATCCTCTCTAATTAAAGGCAAAAAAATTAGTCGGCTCCAGAGCTTGGACACATTACTTTTTAATACTATAGTTCACATAATCCTCTAACCTTCATGGCCTATGCTAAATAAGTAACATTTCCATGCTGTGATTAAGACTCCAAAGCACACATACCATAGAAGTATTCATTCATCTATTAATGATGCTTCTATCCAACCTTCTTTCTAGTTTAGCTCAAGGCAACATACTGTATATATATCTTTCTCCCTCTATCATTTGAACAGTGCTGTGGGGAAGGTCAGGCCAACTCAATAGGTGTGTGCATCTAAGAGAGTGACCGGGAATTGGAATTTTGAAGGCTACATTCCATTTTTATAAACATAACATTATTATGCCTCCCTTCAAACCTGCCTCCCCTAATAATTTTATTTGAAATATCACAAGGTAGATTAGGGGAGGTTGAGTAGGTTTAATCTAGCTGGGAGAACAGGTAGGTTTGGGAGGCTGGGCACTATATTTGCACAATGAATTCTATGCTACAACCTCACTTAAAGATAGGGAAAGATAATAGGACTTGATAGACTGACCAAGGACAGTAAGAACCATTTACTTGGAATAATGGTACTCGGGACTCTTTTGACTTCAGTAATAATGATGGTAGTGGTGGTGGTAATGTGTCATCAGGTTAATTCTGACTTACAGTTACCATTTCCAGAATCTTCTAGGTTTACTGTAGAGTACTCAGAAATAGCTCGTCATTCCCTTCTTCCTGGGCTTCATAGTGTCATAGCGCAGGAAGAAGGGAATGGCAAGCTGTTTCAGAGTACTGTACTATGTCTAGAAGATCCTGGAAAGGGTCACAGTGAGTTAGGTTTAACTTGCCATGTGCAGTTTACTGACAGCTGTACAGGCTGCATCTTCTCTCAGGAGGCAAAGTGGCGAATAAAACTCTAGCCCTCTGGCTTTGCAGCCACATTTCCAACTCACCGAGCTATCCAGCCAGCTTTATTTATGTTGGTAAGATAAATACTTCCCTGAAATTAGAAGGTGTTTTCACCAATATTCAATAAGTACCTAGCAATAACACATCTTAATGATTTTGTATTTCCCTTACTATCCGGGCTGCCAAGCATGGAGGGAACACTAGCCAGCAGCTGTCTCACTTTGTCTTGCTTTGGGGCTAGACCTTCACAATGTAGACATGCTAAACTTCTAATACTTGAGAATTGTGGATGATATTTGAATGTCTGCAGATAATAGATTTTAAAAAAACACAATGTACTGACATTTTCCAGGGTTGAGTGCATTTCACATTTTCACCCCCTCCCAAAAAACAACAACCCATCTCCTAAGATAACACAGGACATAGAGATGCTGGGTCTGACCACAAGTTAAACTAAACTGCACAACTTCCTTATATTTTGCTCATGTTCCAAATGTTCTGTTGCTATGCACTAATGAGGCTAAAGGCAGAAGAATTACTAGACAGATGGGTCTTCTGAAATTTTGAATATGCTGTCACATTAGCATCTTTCTATTGCTGTATATCCATAAACTGAACTCTGGCATATTTTTCATCCCTTTTCTCCACTCACATGTATGACTGCTGCTAGTGCAGTGATCCCCTTTGCTTCCTTGCTTACTTGGCAAATCAACCTGCCTTTAAGATATATTGAGGTGGAAATAGTATACTGTAGTCCCCTTTCATTTCTGGTACCAAACTGGATTCTTCTTTCTTTGACTGGGATGGGTGGCAATGTAACCTATTCTCCTTGGGGGAAGGAAGAGGGGAGAGACAAGGAGAGTGAAAGACAAGCATTTGATTCACTGTTGCATTAGAGGCAGATTTTTGTATTGAACCCTGTGGGCTTCATTTCTATAGCACTGTTGTATGCCTTGGTTTCGGACTACCACTTCCAGAGTACTCCAGCCAGCATGGCCACTGGCAATGGTAGCTATGCAATTGTGGTAATATTAGTCCACAATAAGTCACTTTTGCAGCCTCTGTCTCAGATCCCCAAAAGCCTTTGTTCAGTGAATCTTCTGGTCTGTGAGATTTAACCAGCTAATGTTGATGCACTTTCAAGCATGTCTTCACAACTATAGGCTAGGAATGACCTTTTAAAAATGTGAACATAATTCTGAGGAATCTAAATTCAATGTCCATCACAATGTTTTGTGGCTTTTCTGCATTCCTGGAATACTCAAGATCTGCACAGCTCTGCTTCTTTTCCTCTGTTTGCATACATTTTGCAGTCTGTTCACATTTTATCTGTGTTGCCTATTGTACTCTGAAGTTTGAGAACTCCACTCCCTCCACAGCTGTTGTCTTGAGCACATAGGTATATAGATTCATGTGCAGGCCTGCCAGCAACTCAGAGTTTAAGGTAGAGTCTACAACTTGTGTATGCCCATGCCAACACCATATCTGTCCCTTAATCCCCCGTAGACTTTTTAAAAAAGAAGGGAGAATGAAGTTTTGGAAGTTTATGCAATATAGGTTGGGGTTTGTAAGCTATTGGTTTATAACACTGTTACTTTTTGCTACAGATATCAAAACCATGGGAAACGCAGAAAGCCAAAATGTAGAACATCAGTTTTATGGAGAGAAACATGCCAGCTTGGGACGAAAACATACATCACGCTCTCTTCGCCTTTCAAATAAAGCATCTCGCCGTACCAGACACGCTTCCTCAGGAAAAATTATTCACCGGAACTCAGAAGTAAGCACACGATCCAGCAGCACTCCTAGCATCCCTCAGTCATTGGCAGAGAATGGCCTGGAGCCTTTTACCCAAGAAGGCAATTTGGAGGATTTCGGAAATGCAATCTGGGTAGACAGAATGGATATGGGCTTAAGGCCAGTTTCTTACCACACAGATTCTTCCGTCACTCCCAGCATGGATAGCAGCACCGTTCTCATGGCCGCCTCAGTACAGAGTATGCCAAATTCAGAAGTAGGCAGACTTTATGGAGATGAGTCGACCTATTTGGCTGAAGGGGGTAGTAGGCAACATTTGTATCCTACAAATGGGACCACTTTCTTGGAGCCTGTTAGTTTCAAGAAAAAACGTTCAAAATCTGCAGATATTTGGAGAGAAGACAGCTTGGAATTTTCACTCTCTGATCTCAGTCAAGAGCATTTGACAAGCAACGAAGAAATCTTAGGTTCTGCTGAAGAAAAGGATGGTGAGGAGACTCAGGGTAGAGAGGCTGGTAACAGTCGACAGCCTTTGGTCACCTGCCAGCGTGCCAATTCCATGAGTGACTTGTATTCTCCCAAAAACACAAGTGCTACAATAAATGGTGGTCCACGAAACACACTAGGAGGGTACTGTCGGAATTTAGCATCTCATGTTCCAGATACTGAGAATCACAAACTATCTCCAGCCACAATGGACAATATTCCTTCTTATAGTAACTATAACACACTCCCCTGCCGGAAATCTCATTGCCTCTCTGAAGGTATCACGAACCCTAAAATGAGCCACAGCAACAGTATGCATGGAAGACGTGCAAAAACGACTCAGGTAAGAGACCCACATCTTAGTTCAAATATCAAAATTCACTAATATGAACAAATTTACCATTCATTCTTGAGAACACACTTGTTTCATGGCTGCAGGTAGGGTGTATGTGCTTTTATGTCCTTCATTTTTAATAAATGGCTCATGTAGTCAACTTCAGGACTAAAACATTTCTGATCCTGTAAATAAAATTTGGTTTCTGGGAGATTTTTGTGTTACGTGTAACCTTTCTTTCCCTGAAAATAAGAAAAAATGCTCTTAAAAGTTAAGTGATACAGAGGTGCCTCGCTTAACGGCGATAATCCATTCCAGGAAAATGGACATTAAGCGAAAACATTGTAAAGCGAAATAAAAAACCCCATTGAAACGCATTGAAACCCGTTCAATGCGTTCCAATGGGGTAAAAACTCACCGTCCAGCGAAGATCCTCCATACGGCAGCCATTTTCGCTCCCTGTATAGCGAGGAATCTGTCCCTAAACACAGCAGGGAGCCATTTTAATTACCGGTGGCCATTTTGAAACCACTGATCAGCTGTTAGAAAAACGTCGTTTTGCGAAGAATCGGTTCCCAAAGCAGGGAACCCATCATCACAAAGGGAAATTCCCCCATTTAGACCATCGTTTTGCGATTACAATTGCGATCACAAAAAGATCGTTGTAAAGCAGATTCGTCGTAATGCGGGGTAATCGTAAAGCGAGGCACCACTGTAGTTGCTAAACCTGCCCAAGTAGCATAGTCTATCAACGGTATAGCTACTGTGGTTTACAGAAATTGTATTCACAAGACAGAAAAAGTTGACTTAATAGATCAGTACAAGCATCAGCTTAAATCTTCCATCATATTATTTTAATTTATTTTATTTATTCCATTTATACCCCGCCCATCTAGACCAAAGTCTACTCTGGGCTGCTAACAGCAAAACATAAAAGCAAAAGCAGTATAAAATGAAAAACAACAGTAATAATATAGTTCAAGATGGCAAATAATAATTAGGCAATGACAGGAGGGAAAACCTGCCTAAAGAGGCTCTTTAGGAAGTTTGCTCTTAAAAACACCCAGTGAGGGAGCCACGCAGCTCTGTGGGCAGACAGTTCCAGAGGCGAGGGACCACTGCCGAGAAGGCCCGGTTTCTTGTTCTTTCTCTCCAGGCCTCCCTCAGTGTTAGGCCCCTCAGCCGCCCATCCTAGCTAGAACAAGTGATTCAGGTAGAGCTAGGTGGGAGAAGGTGTTTGGCTAGATATTGAGGACCTGTTTAGGGTTTTATATGTCATCATTAACACTTTGAAATCAATGCGGAAACGAATGGGCAGCCAGTGCAGGGCAGCCAGAGTGGGGTTCTATTCTGTGTTCTATTTGTGAGATTAACACTCACATAGCAATAAATTTAATTAGCAAGTATGGAAGGTAGAAGGTACATATTACTTTCTAGCCAAACGAAACAAAACCAAAGTATACCAGAGCATATATGGACTTTAGAACAGTGCTATTTTGAACAGTTCTTGCTGTCTCCCATCCATTGGTAAATCTGGTGATGTCCCATAATTTGTCCTCTAATCTTCCAAAATGTTATTCCCCTGTGAAAGAGATTCCTATTTTTGCATCACTCTCCAGGTCCTTTAAAATGTATTTTTATGATATTTTGGAGCTTACTATAATGTTACAAGGAAGCTGAAGGGGCCGAGTTTTTTTTTTCTCCCTTGAACATCACCTATGAGAGTTTCTGTGACATTTCTCCTTCTTTGACAATCAATCTTTGTGAAGATAAATTCTTTCCCTATCAAATTGAATGTAAATAATCAAAATTCTCATGGGGTTTTCCCTTTCATTAGCTGTTTTTACCATTGGTGTGATTATTTTAATTGCTTTGATTACTGTGGCTTTGTCTAATTTGTTTCTAATTTTTTATTAATTATGTTTCTTAGCCATTTTATGACAAAAAATGGGATGAAAATACAGTATAATAAATATTAAGTGCACAGTTAAGGGAGTTGCCTCAAAAGGTACCAGCCAGCTGCCTAACTTCTGCTTTTCATCACTTCCTTTTTGCTCTGGTATCCCCTCCTTTTCCATATCATTCTCTTGTCTGGAACTTCAATTGTGATGGGATACATTTGGTTCTCAATTTGCATGCTTTCCGTAGCCTCTCCACTTGGTTTGAAGGAACTCCTGAGACCTCACATTGTGGTCTTTTATTTGTTTGTGCATATGAACACCTGTTGATGTTCAGCTTTAGTGGCTTTGTGGAGTGCGGGAGAGCAGCACAGATGTACCTATAACTGACCAGCCAGGTAGAGACACCAGCCCTGTTGGATACAATATTCTTTCACCCTCAAGCTGTTACCATTTCCCAAAAACATCACTTTGGCCTGAATCCAACTCCTAATTCCAGAGAGATTATGGATTCACCTTAATTACTGATTTATCAATTAATTTAATATGTCTGCATTATTTCAGACTAGCAATTGGGTATAGCCCCCTGAACTCAAGATTCCAACTTCATGTTTTCCAGTTGAAAAATAACTGTATTTATGTTGTATTTCCAGTATGACAAATAGAAATTTAACTTCCTCAGTTGAGAAGCTTTCGGAAATAATGTTGGTTACCATATCAAGAAATAGTTGGTCCTGTTTTCTGCTTTAAATAAAGAAAGGAGAACCATGCATTTTCTTATTTCCTTTATATTGGCCACTAGGTTAGTTTTAAAAACAACAACTAGTGTATAAATTCAGATTAATACAAACCTGATCTTAATGTTTTCCAAAAAAGTGGATACTTGATTTCACTGCATTAATTTAAAATTGTATTATTTATTTTTTATTTTGTTCCTAATATATGTTTGGAACAACATGAAGTTTGAATGTGTTTGTCTGATGGAGGTGCTCTAAATACAGTGGTGCCTCACTTAGCAATGTTAATTCATGCAGAAAAAATCACTGCTAAGTGATAACATCACTACGCGAAAATAAAAAGCCCATAGAAACGCATTAAAACGCGATTAATGCGTTCCTATGGGCTAAAAACGCACCTTTAAGCGAAGATCCTCCATAGCGCCGCCATTTTCGGTGCCTCTAAAGCGAGGTATGAAAATAGCGGGCTATCATTTTGTTTACCCGGTGGCCATTTTGAAACCGCCAATCAGCTGGCCGAAGATGGGGGCTTTGCGATGATCGCTTCCCTGCGATCATCGCAAAGCGAATTTTCCCCATAGGGACCATCGCAAACCGATCGCTTTTGCGATGGCAAAAAGTCCATCGCAAAGCGATTTCGTCGCTATACGGAGCGATCGCTATGTGAGGCACCACTGTATTGCGGTGCTACACTCAATATAATAATAAATGAAGTAATGGGCAGGGCAGTAATGAAACTAAATGATGCGTGCAGTTCATGCCAAATATGCTATCGTCCTGCTGTTCCAATCAAAGGATGCTTTCAATTCATTGTCTTTGTCTGCAGAATTAATCTGTAAGAAATAATTGTTAAAATAGGGTTAACTGTGATGCTCCTTGGTTGTCTCTGTTTGCCCTCTGTGCTCATCTGATGTGCAGTGTAACAGCAGAATGAAATTGAACAGCACAAGAGAAATCCTGAACAAATAGGTCAAAGCTAGCACCAGACAGCATGCTTCAGTGACCACTCTGATTTTATTACTTTGTCTGTTTTAATACATCTGTAGGAGACAATACAGATTACTTATTGTGACCCCCCCCCATACAACTGCTTCACATCTTATGATAATGGCATGATAAACTAGCACATTTGCACCCTCATGCTGAGTTTGAGTTCAGCTTTTGGCAGCAACTGGTCTGAAGCGCAATTAGATCCAACAGTGTGAGCTGCTTAGCTTTCAGTATAGTACAAGGATAAGTGTTTTGATCTGCTAACATTATACATTGGTGAGAGATGGCCACTGGACGGTAAAGAGAAGCCAGCATGAACATGAGGAGAAGGAGCACGTACACATTAGTTGGCATTATCTTGTAGAATGCAACTGGAGGTGGGTTTGCTGCCTGTGCTGGATGTGTGAAGATGTGCTCAGTTCTATATATAAAAATGGCATTCTGGAACAGATGCTGTTGTTTTCCCATAGCAGAAGCTCTATATTTAAAAAGTATGCACAAACCAGTGTGTTTTATTTTGGGAAGGGACATTTACGTATGACCTCAGTATAGATGCTCTTCAATGTGATGGCAACCTTGCTGAGCATGCACCGTAAAAATCAGAAATTTAGTTTGTCATGAGCTACACTTTAAACAGTAATCCTGCAGAATACAATGATACAATGTAAGCTGAATTTGTACCTTGCTGCATTCACCACAGGGCCAGTATATTTGTTTGATCTCAAGGCATTTTTAATTCTTGTGTTCATTGTGTCTCTGGAAAATGAATGAGCCTCATTTCATCAAGCAGATTTGTTGTATGACATGTTTTCATGAGATCTGTATTCATAGCTTCTCTCTCAATTCTGCTTCTGTTCTAAGGATCTTTTACATTGCAGTAAAAAAAAAGTCAACAGAGCTACAATATCTGCTGGTATTTCTCTCAGAGGCCCTACGCTCTATAATCAAGCCACAAAAAGATGGCAGTAAAATGAGATTATGGGGGTTGTTTAAAATTAGAAATTAGAACTTTGAAAGTAGTTAGTCAGCCTTCTCCAAATTTGGCACAGAACAAGCTGTCTGCGGTCACTTTGGGCGAACAGAATCCTGATTCAAGGACCTGTTGGAATTTATCGTGAGTGGCTTATGGCATGCAGTTTTGACTAGTCATGCACTGCTGTGCATCTCTAATAATAATAATAATAATAGTGGTAATAGTTTATTCAAATCTGCTCCAATGTATGGCAACCCTTTCCAGACTTTTCTGTGTATAAAGTACTCAGAAGTGGTTTATCATTTTCTTCTTCTGAGGGTGCTTAGGGTAGCTTGCCCAAAGCCACATAGGCTGTCTCATTTCCTACAAAGTACTATGGAGAATTGAACTCCCAACTAACCCAAATTTTAT